GATGTGTTGTTTAGATGAATGTTGCTACACGTGTTGTGGCTACGACCTATGGTCATGTCTATATCGAGTGCCCAATGGGGGAACCTATTCCATTTTAAGAGTACCTGAAGTAGACCCACAATCAAGGAGAGGCATAGTGCTAAGGTGGATGATTAACTGAGGCTTTTCAATGTTTTCTACAACAATGTATGCCAGTAAATTTGCTCTTCCCTGTAGAGTGATTGTGATACTTATATTCATGTGATCATGTCTTAAGGGACATAAAACAGGCACCAAGGAAACCAATAATGTGTTATGATGGCAAAGGTCACCCTCAGGTTGTGTCTGTTATTTTGCAGGTTCTCATATTGACAGTTATTTCAAAACCAACCTAACCAAACCAATCCAAATATACTTGGTATGTTGGTAGATGTTTCATGTTTGGATATTTCATTTTACGAGTGAAAATGGAAAGTTCATTAAGATGGCATCATTCCAATAAATAGTGTATTCTGTAGTTAAAGGTCACCCTTGGGTCGATTTTTTGACGTTGGCCAGGCAATTTCTCTAGTTGAGAGACGTTTCACCTTTGAATACTTTTTTTTCTAGTTAAAATGTATAAAACTTGATGTGATCAAATGAGGAAGCTGAATGCTGGGCTTTAGCCACATATGAATTGATATGGCCAAAACATTACTTTAGGGTTTACAATACTACACACTCCCACATCCCACCGATGACAATGATATGCAATAACTTAACAGAACTGTACAATACATTGAATATAGTGTAATTATTGTTTCATGAGAGGATCAACGACATTGAAGCTGACTTTGGACTTGTTCTCTTCACCTGATCTGAATGATTCTGATCTCATTGGAATAAGTTCCGTATGTTAACCATCCGTCTATACTTTTGCAAATCAAAACAATACAATCTCCTTGTTCTTCCGAGGAAACATTGCATTCTTTTTTGATTTCAATTAAGATTTTCTGATTTTGTATCAGCCATCATAATGCGCACTGTGAATTCGTAAGCTTATGTACTGCAATTTTGTCTATTGGTGTATAACTGTTTGGATAAGTAAAGTAGTAACTATTGGCATCCTGGATTTAACACAACATAATTATTTGGTGCAGATATTTTGCATTTTGGCATGCTGTTTTGGGAGGCAAATTTAGTTTTGCTTATTTTCTACTAGTAAGTTTCAAGTAATGTTTCATTATGCTTTTGTGGTAGTAAGTTTATATCATGCTATATGTGACAATGCTTTAGATTAAGCCCTTGGTGAGTCCCACAAGGTTTGTGGTTGGAATGGATATTCAGCAGTACTCGTGGCATGATTTTGTTTCCAAAAGTAAGATACTCTTGCCCCAAGCTCTCTGTTTGATTTATTGTAGACTCAAAAATTAATGTTATTGGAGAAAAACAAACTTTTCAATTTTGCACATAGAAAGTGAACTAGAAATAAAAAAAGTGGTTTTTGCATTCCGTTTTTGTTCCCTAAATTTTCCTTGCTCAATCAATGTATAAACTAGAAATAAAAAAGTGGTTTGCTAGGAAAAACAATTTTTTACCAAGTGGAAACACAATATGGTATGTGCTCATTTTTATTTGGTTACTTTTAAAGGAGAAAGGGTGAGAATGTAGCTCAGAAAATATATTGAGATTTGTAAAAAAAATAAATGGCTTATATTTTGAACTTTTTTGAGATGTGCTTATTCTTATACTCTATGATTTTGGTTTACAAACACAATTCATTGGGTTTTGCAGTGTGTGGAATG